ACGAATAAACAACCATCTGTTGATTAGCACTGTCGGCAGCACTCGTGAATTCGCGCAAAACGCATGAGTTTCCTTACGTGACTACAGAATCGACGGTCATGAATATGCTAAATGTATGTTAATGAGTTTTCCACCTGGTATAGAACATTCAGAATTTCGACTTTTTTAAAGCAAGTCATCAAATTAAAATACCCTAATTATTTTGAAAATGGCACGACTCAAGTAAAAACGCAATAATTTGAACAACATATGTTTTGTTTTTGAGAAATCGGGCGAAAATACAGCAATCTAAAATCTTATTTTTACAAACAACTACTAGGACTGAACAAATCTGTGGCAAACATTGCATGCAGAGCCGAAGTAGGAGAATTCCCACTCTTAGTAGATATTCAGATCAATTTAATAAAATACTGGACTCGTATCAGTAAATTACCAGACAATAATATCACAAAACAAGCATACCTTGAACAAAAGAAATCCAATTTACAATGGTACTCTTCAATACAAAAAATAATGAACAACATGAACTTTTCACGAGAACAACAGAATGATTTGTTAATAAAACATATACAAAGTTGGCAAAGTTGTCAAACAAAAATACATAAATTTCTGGAGAAAAAATATAACTGAAAAAACAAAGCTGAGAACTTATGAAAAATTCAAAGACTCTTATAATTTTGAAAAATACTTGGATGTGCTGAATTTGAAACAAAGAATTTCAATGACAAAATTTCGAACTAGTAATCACAATTTAGCAATAGAAAAAGGGAGGCACTATTATTATTATTATTATTATTATTATTATTATTATTATTATTATTATTATTATTATTATTATTATTATTATTATTATTATTATTAACCGGGTCAGCCATTTCCGGTGTAAGCTGTTGACTATCACGGTTTCGATTTTTTTAAAGCAAGTCATCAAATTAAAGTACCCTAATTACTTCGGAAATGGCACGACTAAAGTAAAAAAACGCAATAATTTGAACTATAGATGCGATAATAAAGCAATCAAAAAAAAAGATTGGGTCAGCCATTTTCATTGTCGGATGATTGTCACACGTTTACAAGCAGTTTGGAAAATTCAGAATTTCGACTTTTGTAAAGAAAGTCATCATAAATTAAAATACCTTAATTACTTCAAAAATTGTACGACTCGAGTAAAAAATGCAATAATTTGAACAACAGATGTTTTGACAGATTTAATAGATTTATTTATTAACACACAACATCCCCCGGAGGGGATGAAAAGGGTTACAAATCAGATAATAGTAAAGGAAAAATAAATACATAAATAGTAAAGAAACAAAAAGCATAAAGAAAAAAAAATGATAAAAATGTGTATACTAGTACAAAGAATGTGTTACTGGCTTAGTTTATGTAGGTGCTGCTGTCTTGTATTAAAACAGTTTTTTAAATATTGTGCTTAAAAAATTGACATTTTCTCGTTACTTAGTAATGATATGAATTTATTTTCATTACTAAATTTGTCAAAATTTGATATACGTTTATTAGCTACAATGTAAAGTTGTAATCTTATTTCTATGTAATGAGGACAATTTATGACAAAATGTTGTTCATCTTCAACATGGTCATTTGTCGCACATATTGCAGACTCTGTATTTAAAATCTAATCCTGTATGCTTGGCCTCTTTCAATTTTCAGACAGTTGTCATGAATTAGTTTTTGCGTATCTGTTGATCGACTTAATTAGCTGATTATTAGCGAATTGCTGTGTTATGTCTGTCATCGTTTAGGCAGGCGAAGTCCTGGACGGAACTTGGCTCAGTGATTTGGAACTAATTACGAGATAACCGTCGCTATTCAGACTATTATTTCTGACAGTTAGTATCCGTAGTTATTAATGTAGTGAACGATTAATCAAAAGATATGACGTATTCAGTACTTAGTGTGATTGGCTTTATGATTGAAGGTTACGCCTTAGAGTCTTTGTACTGTTTTGTAATTGGTTAGAGTTTTGAAAATGAATAAAGAGAGTTTGAGTTGGTCTTGGCGAGTACTCCACGACAGACGAAGTCTAGAGTCGAGTCCTGGAGAGTCCAGTCCTAGAGAGTATTGGGCTAGTCTTGGGTCAGCCTTGCGATAGTCTTGGGGATTTTTTCCCAGGGCGCTGTGTCTTATAGAGTGCTCGACTGTCCGACTAAGACGAGAGTTGAAACGTATTTCGTTGTGTGTGTCTATTTGACTGTAAAGTTTAAGTGACTTTCCCGATCCCGTACCTCAAGGGGACAAGATATAGAGACAGAGACGAGATTCCCCCCTGGCACGTGTGGAGAAACCCCATAGAGAAGAATTACCCCCTGATACGGTGATGACAAGTCGGGCGAAAATACAGCGATCTAAAAGGGGGGGCAAGGGTTATTTTCGTTCAACGTAATTGCAATATTTTTTTGTTCGTACAACGTAAATAGAAAAAATAAATTCCGTAATTCTGTAATCACAGGCTAGACGTACAACGTAATCAATCAAATATTTTTTTCGTACACTGTAAAAATGTGTCATTTTCTCGTACGTACAAAAATTCACATCCAAATAAAAAAATCGTAAGGAATAATCCAGGGAAATTACATTTTAGAAACTGTAAAACGACTAGATGACACAATTCACTACAAAATTGAATGTCAAGACGTAAAAGGCCCTCTAACCGAATGAAGAGCATTACGAGGGTAATATGCGCATGCGTCTCTTCACACGGCGCAGCAATGGTGGAGAATTTGAGTCGGAGAGCTCTTCGGACCATTCAATGTTTCATTTGTTAACACTGTAAACTGTAAAAACGTTTTTTTTTTCTTCGTAAATTGTGAAAAGCCCTTTTTATTTCCCGTAAAACCGTACCAGCTACCCCCCTTGCCCCCCCTCCTAAAAAAAAACCGGGTCAGCCATTTCCGGTGCAAGCTGCTGACTTTCACGGTTTCAAACAGTTTAGAAAATTCGTAATTTCGACTTTTGTATAGCAAGTCATCAAATTAAAATACCCTAATTACTTCGAAAATGGATCGACTCAAGTAAAACGCATTTATTTTTAAGGAATGGAGCCAAAATAAAACGATCTAAAAAAATCTTGACGAGTCCTTGCTGTCCAGGCGGCCTTTCAGACAGTTCGAAAATTTCAGAATTATGACTTTAAAATATAGACTAGCAAAACTAAAATACGCGAGTGTCGTTGAAAATAGTATGATTTAAGTGAAAAATATGATAATGCTAACAAGTGTTTTTATTTTCCCGAAAACGGGCGAAAATGTGGCAGTCGCAGGATAAGTATTAGTCAACCATTTGTCACCGCATATAAATAAAATCAGCAGAGTGGTTAATTTATACTGATGAAAAAAAAAAGAATTGTAACTCTACATATATTAAGTGTCAACTAATAACCAGTACAAACAAATAGATCTTATATTGAAATTAAAAATTCGATGTAATGAGCACAAGCACCGAAAGACGTGTCAAAACTGTGGGCCCGATTGATTGTGAGTGGCGTCATACGGCTTCCTTAGCTTGGTCATTTGTTTATAACTGTAGTAACCCACGTTGCACGCCGGGTGTCATGAAATCCTTTGTTTTATAATCCAGTTGCCTGTCCCTCTCTTCCTAAGGTCTCTTTCTAAGGTCTATGGTTTATATGATGACACTGTATTTACACGTAATAATAATAATGTTCAGAGCATCATTATGTAAGTAAGTAAGTAAATAACTTTATTGATTTCGTATCCTTATTGGGATCTTGAAAATAATACAATAAAGAATGTTGTTTAAATAAATAAACAACAGCTAGCTAAAAAAGTAACAAAATAAAGTAAATAATTAGAAATTTACATCAATAAGTAAAACAGAACAAAAGTAAAAAAAAAAAAATACAAGAAATGTAAAAATGAGTGATTATTTTGGGGCAGCTGGTGGTTTTTTCAGTGCGGTTAAAGCAGTTAAAAATGTATTTTGCATAGTCAGTGATTTCTTTGTTGTCGGTAGAGGTGAGAATTTGTATCATGATTTCTTCCTCAGCTACACCAGCTGAGGATAAGTTATGTTCAGTGAACAGTTTAATCCTCTCCTCTTGGTGTAGTTAGCATTTTAGCAGAAAGTGTTTCTCGTCTTCTACTTCATCAAGATCACAGACTTTGCATTTTCTATGGTTAATGTCAATATTTTTGTACCTCCCCATTTCTATCAGTAAGGTATGGGCACTTATACGTAGTTTTGTTAGGGCTGACCGATGGTTGGGATTTTTAACTACTGTTAGATATTTGTCATAGGTGTAATCCTTTTTCAGTAATCTGTAGGTTCTAAGTTTGTTTTTATGATTTTTAGATTAATTGTCATCATACATGCTGTTTTCAGCGACTGTTTTAAAACGTTTAATGAGTCTGTCTAAGATTGGATGAAGTAGACTGTAATTGCTGTTATGTTTACATTGTGTCCATGCGTCACCAAGGTCTAGAAAGTTCAGGATGTTGTTTATTCCTGTTACCCAATTTTGTACGCCTGCATCATCTAGCTGTATGCCCAGCTGGTAAGCTTCATGAACTAATGTATTATCGTCCAATATTTCAGCATTTGCCTTATACTTGAGATGGCAAGTGGATGTCTTTTCACTGGTAATCTAACCCCTCTCGATTTGTTTCCGAAGTCATTGTTGATGTCAACTGCACATCACCTTACCACAGTATTTTGTATTCGCGGTTTTTCAGAAAAGTAGAGACGCACACTTATATACACGAATAGAGTAACTGACGTGTGGTTCAGAAATGACGTCACAGTTTGCTGTAGCGCCCGCAGGGAAACGGCCAAGTGAGCGTTTTTTTCGTTTATTCATTTTCCCAATTTTCGGCCATTTAAAGCGGTACTTTATAAAATTTATTTTTATTTCAATAAAACCATTAAAGAATCATTGTGAAAGTGATAAATTCTAGACATTTGTATCCCTCTGAGTGCCGCTACACGGTTAAACAAAAAGATTCAACATTCTGCCACCGGCGGCGCTGTCGACGATTCCCGCCATATTTGTTTTCGAAGTGCGTTGGTCAGCTATTTTACATGTCATTTTTTCACCGATAAACGAATATGGCAGAAGCTTTAGAATTTAATGATATCGCACAAGAAATTAAAGGCACCATGGTAAGTTTCTGACTCTAGGTAGTGTATTTTTAGGCTATAATGTATCATGTGCCATTGCATGCCGCCGATAACTTTAACATGGCGGATGTAAAATCAACACAATGACATGTGGAAAGCCACCGATATTTCTTTATCGGTTAAGATTGTTGCATCGTGAACAGTGGACGCCTGAACTGGCTTGAACGAAATATGTATAACATCGTCGTTGGTTAATGCAATTTTAATTTGACGTATGATTTGAGATTGCAACCACTTTGGTTTCGTCATTCGTCTCGACAAACGAAAAAGTCGATTTTACCATGGACGTACTAGATTCAATGACAAATGGTCAATAGTTTTGGTATTCTAATATACTGTGAAATGATTGTGGCTAAGAAACCTGGTATAGTATACTACTAGTATATCCACAGTCATCTGGCATGTGTATATATTGCTGCGAACTAAATTAAGGATGAGACCCAGGTTCGTGGGCGCTTATATTAAAACTTGTATTTCACAGTGATGATGACTACCTACATGTTATATATTTTTAGTTAGCTCTGTGTGTGAAATGTGTGAAAATATTTTTTTTTCTCAAACTAGTGAAGTGTACGTGTGTTTCTCTCGAAAAATAGGCTTTTTTGAGTTTTTTCACTCAAAACAGACGTACGGAAAACATACTGAAGTTGCAGACATCCTGTCTAATGTTATAAACTAGTCAGCAGACTGGGAATCGGACCGTGGTTGGACAGTACAATGTGAGCTTTTGTTTTCTTGAAATGGGATCAAAAGTGTTTTTGTTCTACTTTATATTTCTGTCGTTTTAATAAGTTCATCAAATAATGCTATACACTAGATGAGATTCTTCTGTGGAAATATTGATCCTGTGTCTGTCAGACGTCTGGCGTAGTGCCAAAATGAAAGGCTCAAAAACGGCAAATTTGCATAAAAGTAATTTCTTGTATTTCTACTTGACTGGAAACCTATTTGAAACGAACATTTTTTTTCATGGAAATTCGCTTGGATAATACTCGTATCTTTAACGTCCCAATCGACGAAAAAAAAACATACAGCAGTGGATATTTTTTGGGGAAATGCAACAAAGTTTTCGAAACCACTCAGTAAAATGGCGTCACTTGTTTACTAAGTAAACATGGGAGGACAACGATTTAATCTTATCACAAAAATAAGCGTAAAGTGTAATGAATACGTGGGATTAGGTTTGGACTTATTTGCATTTATTCCACGGATTTCACTGTCTGTCAGTTTGGCATTTTTATTAATTCATTGTCTAGGTAATCAGAATAAAGAGACAAGAAAAATGGGGTCTCGGCAAATGACTCGCACAATGCTTTTGTTTACCCTTAAGTATCCGTTTTACTGATTGGCTAAGAATAACATCACTACTAGTGTTTCATCATAGAGGTCAATTCAACATTGCTTTCTTACCAGACTTAGACATTCATCAAAGTTACCATTCACCAAGTTCCGGCTGAATGAATGTCTCACTAAATCATGCCTCGAAATGAACATCGTTTCGTTTGCCCAGGGCACAAAAATTTAGGCTAGGACCACTAGAAATTCACTTTGGGACCTTTTTTGGGATGGGCGAATTTATGGCAGAATCCGGTATTACCGGTAGTGTATATGATTTCCTCATGAATCTGGTTACTCTACAACAAGGACACTTTGGTCCAAACATTGTAGGTTATGAACAAGTAGAAGTTTCAAACTTCTGGAGATCTGTGTCTTTTTGTTATGTAAAATAATAAATCAGACAAGAACACATTTGAATCTGTTTTGATTTTGAGTTTATTGTAACTGACGATTAGTACTGTACTCTGACTCAACTTTATTGTTGTTGTAATACATGCTTCCTATAACCTGGTTGGGACCTTTCATCCTCTCTTTGGGACCATTAAAATTTATTTTTAGGAAAACTTCTGGGACAATAGGGAAAACAGTTAATTTTGAGCCCTGTGTATGGATATCATGTTGGGCTTGAAATGGGAAGAATTTGTTTTTTTCAACGACAGAAGAATAATTTCAAGACAGAAATGCAATAGCTGTGATGAAAGATGGTAAAAAAGTTGCCAGTCTTTGGCGTGACATTACAAAATTGCTGGCCCAAGTTATAGATTCGCAAGCTGCAAGCGAATATTTTATAAAGCCGAAACAATGTGATTTCAACCAATCTCCCACGTATGGGTTGTTGCAATGGTTTCATTGTCGTTGACGCTAAAGCCGAACAAGTGCGACACCAGCTTCACAGCTCTGTAAGATTTTCTTGAATCGTTTCTAAGGAAGTCAACTGTTATGTTTAAGTGTAGAAAAAGACCCCCTGGACATATGTCCCGGGCATGACCTCAATCTCTTTATTGTATCACAACTGGGGGGCGTTTGCCCTGGCATGGGTGCTTTCCCAGTTAAATATGGTAAAATATATGAGAGAACACTATATTCCACATTAAATGAACAAAAAAGTTGCTTTAGCTGGATGGCTGTATCAAATGTATGTAGATAACAAAAATGTAAATACTCTTTAAAACAAGGGGACTTGAAGAACAGCGTACAGTTTTCAGTGCTAATATTAATCACATCTGTCAATAGAGGGGATTGTTTCAATTTTAAAAAACAATTAATAGGTCTGTGACCGTTGTAAACTGTTCTAGGAAAAGGCTGAAATTCATGCATATTAATTTTGTATAATAATTAACCTATTTTTCACTTATATCTCAAAACCAACAATACTTGGAATATAAGTGTCTGGGACAATGTAAACCCCTGGATAATTTGGATTAAAATCTGAGCATACATGTACAAATTAACTAATTTCCATAATATACATTAATTCTCTCAATTCAATAAGTGATACACAGATGTGATCAGTTTAATGTTGAAAACCATACATATTGATTATCTAATTATTATTAATTTTAAATATGCCTTTCTTTGATTTACTTTTTAGAATGGTGGTCGTCTTAAACTATCCAAACAAGGTGTTGTTTTTAAGAACAAGAAGACTGGTGTTGTAGAACAAGTGCAAGCAACTGACATGGAAAAAACAAAATGGCTGAGAGCTGCAAGGGGGCATGAATTGAAATTAGTAATGAAGAATGGATCCATATTTAGATATGATGGATTCAAGGAAGGGGTCAGTCGTTTTCATTATTATCTTTCACTATTAGCATGCTGTAAATTTGTGGTATTGCATGCGTTATCTCCGTCTTAGAAAATGAAAATTTCTAATATGAAATGATATGTGATATTTCCAAGATGGTAGACATATTTCAGTTTTCTCCACAATCCCAAATAGCTGGTGGGTGGTCTAATTAGCATAAATTTTGCATATTAATTTGCATGCATTTACATACAACATTCTAGCATTTATGTCATGAACTGCAACACACACAAGTTATTTACTATTCTTTTTTTAATTTAATTGAAACATGTTACAATCAATATTTACGAAATGCAAAGTTTGAAATCGGTGATTTATACATTCTTAAATTATTCTGCGTTCATGAAATTCTATTCGAGTAACGAAGAGCTTGTACAAAACATAATTGAGTTATAATGTAGAAAATATACAAAGTGATTTGTCTTGAAGCCAAAACGGACGATTTGTCAAATGAAAACCCGTAACATTTTTATTTGTGGCATCAGTACTCACCTGTGTCGACGGACAGTATGATACATTTACACATGTACTGTCAGCTACGACAAATTGCGTTTTCACACAGGGTTGTTTTGGAATTCAAGAAAAAATGCTAGCAATCGGCAAAATAAAATAATGTGTTATGTTCTCAAAAGGTTCAACATAAAAAATCAATAAATTGAAAAAATTGAATTACAAATACTTGCGATAATCTAATCCGGCAGCCATGTTTGATGTTTTTTACTGCTTTCGGAATTCAGTACACGAACACCCAGAATGCCCTGTTTCCCTATGCAACTTAGATACTAAATCGTTACAGAGCCAACAGCGGTGGGTGGTCGACGGTCGCTGAATGGGGTAGGCCTAAAGGTCACCAGTTTGCCTTCTCCATGCTGTTTTCGCGATGAAAATCGAGCGATCGTTGTAAATACGGCTAGAATTAAAATTTTGTTCGAGTTTACATGCAATCTGCTACTATATTTGTTTATTTTCTGTGCATATACATTTCATTCATATTTACTTCTTTCTTTCGTGATCGGAAGATGATTATTAAAAATACAGCTGTAAATTGAAACCACTGTAGTTGCGTATTGTGAGCAATATGTGGCAACAATGTCGGGCGACAATGAATTAAGGCGATTGACACATTGTCATGAATACACCTGATAACTGCTTGCAGACTTCCAGTGGTCATTGTTCATGTCTGGACCCTTGAAACAATAGCAAAATAAAGGATTGGGCAACTACTCTTTTGTTTAGGCTTGGGAAGAACAATGCAAGCTTTTTACAAATAATTTCAGCTGGATGTACGTTGGTGGGCGGGTGTTGAGAGTGACTAGGCGGCCGATAGCTTGATGGGCCCTTGTGGAGAACACTGTATTTGAAAGCAGTTAGATTAAAATGATGTTTTATAAAAAGGAGGATAGTAAGAACATGGAGGTAAAAAGAGAAGGAGTCACAGCCAAAATAATTCTCTTAAACTTCTTTTGTTTTAGTAGAGTTTAATCCCATAATTCCCTTTGTCTTATTGTCCTTTCACCCCAGGATTGTCGCCGACGCGTCATTTCTCTCAAGCTTAGCTGCGTACAGTACGCACTCCAAGGTCTTGTTTTACGGTGTTGCAGTAAAAAGCCAAAGGACATAAAGCATGTGCAGATCTTTTATATGTAGAGGAATCGTGTTTTTGAGAACGGGAAAGTTGGAATTTTGAAAATCGGAGAATTTCTTGTTAAGTTTATGTAATTTTTCGTTTTTCAGCACAATTTTCGTTGTATTTTTGAATTGGTAATATTGTAATGTTTCGAAACCTGGCTAGTACTGATTTTTAGTCCAAAATAAAGATCGTTTAATGTTCTTTGCAATGGTGCATGACATAGACCGCACTGCGTTGTACCATAGACTGAATTTTGAGGGTTCGAAATGACACTTTTTGAAGTTTATATCCCGTGTATGCCCTACTTCCTATGACAGTGCGTCAATGTTCTTCGTCTGTAATATGCTCTTCGATTTCGTTTACATCTTCTGAATTTAAGGATATAGCAGTTTCAGCATCGTAGTCAAACTCGTGCGCGTTATCGATCGTCGCCATATTTGTTTATAAGAATTTTACTAGAATTGTCACGAAGGCGCCCGTAGTATGCTAATACATGGTAATCTTCACTCCTTGATCCCTTCGGCAAATAAACTCCCTGATCTATGTACAAACAGCGGTGACCATCCTGGTACCTTTGATCTAAGCTTGGCTGTGACTCCTTCTCTTTTTACCTCCATGGTAAGAATAAGAAGTATAACATTCAATACTTCCACTGTATTGTCTTCATTGCATCTTATACAGTATTCTTGTAATCAATGGATAATTATATGATGTGCAACTACAGTATTTGTTATAACCTCTTGGTTATTTACTGTAATGTTTAACATGCTAGATCATGTCTGAATATTAGACAAGTTATTTCACACATGTACAATCCAAGAAAAGACAAATTACATTTACAAAAATTAAAAATTTTAAATCTGACACTGAATACTATAGAATTTGTCTGTTTAAAAAAACAGTGTTGGAAAGTGTTACAGACATATTAGAATGTGTATGACAATTACTTCACGTCAGTGAATGCAACATGAATACACGCAACGTAATATTACCGTAATTGGTACAGTACAGGTATGATGGTTCAAATACCAAAATGGCAACAGTAACAGAAAGACTTCCCTGGCAGCGATGATAAAATACGAACACGGAGCCAACAGATGAGGTTTCAACTGGTACTGGTATTATTATACTCTGCAAACATCAAGTACCGGTACAATAACGCGGTAAAACTCCACTACTCCAATAACTAGATACTTAAACTCCAATACAATTCAATGAGATCTCCGATCTGAACTCAGTGCTGAACAACTCTCCTATATATACCCACACTATCTATAAATAGACCATTACATCAGCATACATAATGAGTCTGGAACTTACTACCAATTTCTAGAATGTTCCATTACCTTCTATTGCCTCCTACAGTGTTCTATTACCTATTCAACCAGTTTCTAAACAAAATCTAGAATATTCCACCCAGACACAGTACGGTTCTAGAACATTCTCAGTGACACGCAAGTGGTACATAAGTCGTATGCGACAGTCAGGCATTTCACTAAATTATTACTACATTTAGGAAAAGATGTATGGTTATCATGATAATACTGCAAAGTATGCTACGCTATGTGTTGGTTGATATGATCACTGTACTGCCTTCCTGCATAATTTGCTGTATCCTCATAATAACCTCATAGTACATCAATACCAAATACATGTAGATGCATCAAACAACATCATACAGAATATCTTCCTGTAATTACACGCCCGTGTAGTGTCATTGATATATTCAATGAAATGTATAACATTATTACTAAATTTTGTCTTTATTTAGGATTATGAGAGACTATCTGATTACATTAGAAAAAACTATGACTTGTCCTTGGATGAAGTAGAGTTATCATTGAAAGGATGGAACTGGGGTACAACTCAATTTAGAGGTCAGATTGTGTTATTGTTCATTGACAGTACAGTAAAATCTGTATTAGAAGCCGCATCTCTAATAGAAGTCGCACCCATTCTTTTTGAACAATTGAGAACCAAAAATTCATCATTTCTCATATGTGTAGATGCTCTAATAGAAGCCACATCCCCTCTGTTGCATTGTACCATTTCAATAGAAGTCGCGGCTTCTAATACAGATTTTACAGTAATTATTTTTTACCTGGTTGGCAGCTTAGGGGTGATCTCATATTCAAACACCTGGGTTTACCCGACCTGCCCTATTCAGACCTACTAGACCTAAAATATGCAAATTAGTAGTAGGTTTGAACCTAACCTCCGGATTAACTGCCCATTAACGCCCCCACTGAAAACAAACAACAGAGAACAAAGAAGACAGACCTAGGGAAACCTAGGTTTTTCTTACAATACTGTTTCAGCCTGGTTTCAGTAGGAAAAAAAATAAGATGTATACTATGGTGAAGTGTTAAGAATTAGAGCAGCGATTTTTTTTCTTTGCAATACTTGTACATGTAAATGCTAATAAAAACAAACTTGCATTTGTTTCACAAATCTATTTACATCATGTCATTTATAAGTGTGATGAAAATTATATTCATTTATTTCTGTGATTGGTAATAATAATCAGTTTCCCACAACTTACATTTTGGTACAAGTCACTACAATTGTTATTCAATTTATCTGGAATTAATTACAGACGTGATGGTTTGTTATATTTTGTCATTAAATGTGAATCAAGTGATACCATAAACCCTCTCTCTCTATTGTGATATATATGGTAAATTAATGTTTGAAACAGAACAGGGAAAAGATGCACTAGAATTTTAATGAGCAGCTTCTTACGTTATATAAATTACTTACGTTATATATATATTTGGCATAGTCAGTAAAATATGTTTATCCATGGAGCGAACTTGTACATTTTGTCCGCAACAAGTATGGTCAGTTTTGTGTCCATGTCAGTTCATAAATTCATAGAACACATTTTGTGGTTAAGTTTGTAAAGTCTGTGAGACTGCCAGTTATCAAAATATGATGAAAGTATTAAATCGATAATGGCAACATTGTTTTCTACGAAGGCATCTCAAAACCACAGTCCCTCTATCACTGTGTCAAAACTAAAGTCGGGGCTAATGCTACGACTCCGGCGCTACGACCACCGTAACACGGGTATTTACCGCTGCCGATATCTTACTTTTTTGTGACAAAATGCACACATTT